TTAATAACTCATAACGGCTTTTGTCCAGACAAATGCGTCGGTATAGACCACTCCGGGCTCTTCACGCGTATTATTAACAATGCCACTCCTTACACTTATTGGCATTGACTTTATGGTGTTTGCGAATTGTTGGAATCTTCTCAAAATAATTAAAAACTTTTTCAATATCCAATAATGTCCTCTATATTTTATTTTTGTCTTGAAAGTGTTATCAACGCAAATTATAAACAAATTTTAACTATTTACCCGCCGAAAAAATGTGTGCCGCCATTTTGATTCTTCTCTTGACCAGGAATCCTGGTAAAGTGATGTTAGACAAAAACTGAATCAGTAAGTCAACCAAAATCCTGGTCGATTGAAGTATGTTTAACCCATTCGTGGTTGAAATTCATTGAACCCGGATTTTTTAACCAGGGTGTTTTTAGAGTGTATAAGTATAAGTCATGAATGCATGTTTCCTGGTTTGATACATATGTCATAAAGGCATACATGTTTCCTCGTTCTTAAAAAGATCCCGCTTTATACTTAATTTAAACTTAAAGGCATGAGTAAACTGACATTCACTCAAACACTCCCTATACAGTACTGATAACGTATATAAGTATATTGTGTATTTATGACTATGTATACACTATATACACAGTATACAGTATATAGCTACACTTTGTCCTTTGACATTCACTCAAACACTCACTATATATACACTGTATACACTTTTGACTATATACTGATAATATACCTAGAGTATATTGTGTACATATTGTCATATGTACTTTTTAACATTCACTCAAACACTAGTCTATCTAGTCAAAAGTGTATACAGTGTATATAGATAATATATGTACATTGTGTATATACGTATATACTGTACACTAATCACTATATCTCCATATACACTTTTGACTCTATACCGATAATATATGTACAGTATATTCTGCATATACAGTATTTATTAGTGTATATGTACTCTTTGACATTCACTCAAACACTCACTGTATACACTAGTCACTAACTATATACACGTTTGTTTGTTTTGGCTGCAGAATATACACAATGTATCCTACATCTCTATATATAGTGTATACATATACATAATATACAGGCTATTCTGTACATATATACACTCTATATTATATGTACTATTTATACAATACTCAAAAGATATAAACTCCAATCTTTCAGTGTGGTGTTCGTCCAGGTCAGAAAATCTTCATAAGTCAGACTTTCTACTCGCTGTCTCGTCCAATTCGTTCACTGGTGCACGAGAAATATTTTTAATTTACTCAAAGAGAATAGAGCTGTCGAAAATACTTCTTCACAAGCGGAGATCTGTATTTCTCGGCAAAGCGAAGCTATCAAGTCTATCAACTGGAATGCGACACCACTGATATTACAGGTTTTGAAGCGACAAAAGTCACAAAATAGCACCGGCAAGGCGCACGAGATATCAAATTACATGTTCCCACTCCATATGGTTTCCTGTATGATAAATATTTATGTTCAGCGAAAATTTCATCCATTTCGGGTGTTAAATCTCGAAGGAACCAAATGTTTTCATATATACGCTGACATGTAAACAATACTAAACTATAATAAACAGCTCGCAAAACGTCCCAACGAACTCGCCATATTTTAACACTTCCAGGGCTTTGATTCGGATGAAAACCCGTACAGACATCAGAAAATACCCAGAAATTGATCACAACTTGTAAAATTGAACTATTCTTCAATACTTTTGCATAAATTCAACAAATTGTGCAAACGTAATTTTCCCACTCCTAATAGGAAATAGTATGGGAAATGGCGCTGGCCGCGCGCTCGCCCCAATATGTTTGCAGCCCCTGAGCCAATGGCGTCGGAAACCTTGAATCCCCCTATTAATAAGCTTATATTACGTATAATAACATACCTAACATATATATGTTGGGAAATTGATAATTTTGTAATTAAAAGTGATATTTTTAGGTGAATTTTCGTTTGTAAAAATATTCTTTAAAAATTATCGTGTTACCATGGATTGTAAAATAACTGGATAGGAAACTAGCTGACGTCACAGTCTAAACCTAGTTGCAATCTGTGACGTCACATGTATTGCCAAAGTTCTCAGCATTTTTGTTGTTTCGCTATATTTTCCGCTTTGAAAGAGTAATATTGAAGCATAAACTGGTCTAATTGTTTTAAAAACATGCCTAAGCCACGACAAAGTATTCAAGGTAAATGTTTTTCGTTTTTGTTTTGTATTTTTTAACATTTGTAGCTACGAAATTGGCGTCGCCAATTTTTACGAAATTTGCGATGCATTTTTCACTGTTTAGTGCTTCAAATATTTGCTAAAATTGACTGGAAATACTTAGAGATTTCATCGTAGAATGGCTTAGTTATATTTATTTGCTCTTTGACTAAAATGTTTAGCTGTATTATCGCTAAACATGCCGTTTTTGAGAATTTGGTTTGCAACTAGGTTTCAACGCCATCATCCCATTGAAAACATTAGGTCACGTCAGCTAGTTTCCTATCCATGTATTTTATTATCCATGGTGTTACCATGAAAACAACTTTAGATACTTCATGTTCGGAAAATACAATGGTTTTGTCAGCAAGGCGAGGGTTTCTGCATGCATGTATTTTCTAGTTTATACATTTACACAGTCGAACATGGGAATGCATGATGGGACCTGACCAAGGGGCAGAAAGCTGCCATTTGAACTCCAGGTTGTTATAGTTAAATGAAAATGGGGGATGAAAAAAATTAAGATGGACTAAACGAAAGAATTTAAATTAAGGAGGCTCCCTACCTCATCCCTAGTAGCGTGCGGTATGTTCGCGGGACCAGTACGTGAACTACCCCACACGCAACCGAATGTTCAAAACAAAAAATGTTCCTAGTAATGGAAAAAAGCGTTGGTTTATACTTCGTTTTGAGTGCCAAATCACTTGCGAGTCTATACAGCAATTCTACGTATGAAACGAATATCACTAGACCAAAAAGTAGCTACGAAACAATGATTTTTAAATTTCCCCTAGGGTACTAATATCACCCGGCTATTTACACCCTGGGAAACGAAAGCATTAGCGAAGTCTAAAGTTCATCAATGATCGCGGGCGTGGGTTACCGTGCGCGGTTCGGTGGGTGGTCATCTCACTGATCTCAAAATATGACTGTTTGCCAGTAGTGAAGAAGGCCAAAAATATAAAAAATACATGTAAGAAAGCTTTGAAAAACGTTTCACATAACAAATTGTAAAACGTTTTTGCAATTTTTAAACGTAAACCTTTATAAGAATTGATTTAGTATGAGAAATCCTAAAGTTTAGGGCAAGTTTGTTTCAATTGTTTATTATGCATGACTTTGTATTATATAGACTTTGTTCTTGATGCATATGTTCTAGTCTTTCTTATGCATTGTTTGCGAAATTTTCTTAGTTTAAATAACTTTTGTAGAAGTTCATGATAAAAAAGATAGCAAATTATTTTCATTAGCGTGCTGTACGAATTAAATTTATTTCATTTCAAAGTGCGAGTAATAAGTTGAAGCTCGAGTTGAAGAGTTTATAAAAATCGGCAAAAAGCAGTTAATTGCAATTCACATTTAAAAACGTTTTACGTAGAGTTTCGTTTTGAATTTTACATTAAAATAAAGCCGATAGAAACCAAAATAATATACCTACTTTATATATTTTAGAAATTGATAGTTCCGTATTTAATAGTGTTCAAATTTCATCTATTTTTTACAGGTTTGTACAAAAAATTAAAAATACAATTATTATGTTGCCATGACTAACATGACGTGCAACGCGAGCCTGCGTTCAGTGTTGGCATAATTACGAGTAGTTCATGTTGAAGCAATGTTTGGAAAATATATGCGAGGGTTTGTTGCACGCATGTATTTCTAGTTTTAAAGTGATTACATGTAGACAGAAAATATCTCAGTGTCATAGCCTAATTGTTCATTTTTTAGAGCAAAAAATACAAAACCAAACATGAAACAAAAAAACACGTCCACCTGTTAATAGGCTGTTACAGTTCATAGATTGAGTAAACGGCACAGTTCACTTAGCTGCAACCTTAAAGAGGTTTTGTTGTTTTCATCGATTTGATCCTTCACAATAATCCTTGGCTGTCCATGGCATCAAATATATCGAAAAGTTGACAAAAACAAAACAGTAAAAACAACATTGCCGCTCGATTTTGCTGAATGAAAGCTGGTTCTGCGCCAGCGTACAATCATTTACAAGTCCCCGAGCCAACGGCGCGGAGCGCCGTTCCGGGCGTATACTAAGCTCGGGGCGAGGGGACTAATTCCTCCAGGCTATTTACAGCCGGGGAATCGAAAGCATTAGCGAAGTCTAAAGTTCATCAATGATCGCGGGCGTGGGTTACTGTGCGTGGTTCGGTGGGTGGTCATCTCACTGATCTCAAAATATGGCTGTTTGCCAGGAGTGGTGAGGCAAAAATATAAAAAGTACATGTCAGAAAGCTTGGAAAAACGTTTCACATAACAAATTGTAAAATTTTTTCAACTTTTAAACGTAAACATTTATAAGAATTAATTTAATATTAGATGAGAAATCCTAAAGTATAGGGCAAGTTTGTTCAATTGTTTATGTATGACTTTGTATATATTAATATAGACTTTGACTTTGTTCTTGATGTTCAAGTCTTTCCTATGCATTGTTTGCGAAAGCTTCTTAGTTAAATTAACTTTTGTTGAAGTTCATGATAAAATGGAAAGCAAATTTTAATTTCATTAGCGTCCTGTACGAATTAAATTTATTTCATTTCAAAGTGCGAGTAATAAGCAGTGTTGTAACGAGTCACCTACAAGTCGAGTCACGAGTCGAGTCGAGTCACCCAAAGGTCGAGACACGAGTCGAGTCGAGTCAGCAGTTTCACTCGAGTCAAGTCGAGTCATTGCATGGTTTAAGTCGAGTCGAGTCAATAGCTAGACTTAACTTGAGTCAGGGAATTTGATCAAGTCCACCCACATGATTGTCCCCAGGGCCTCTCGGCCGCGCACGTCCTCCCTAGGCCCTGGAAAATACGGAACCGGAACTGCAAGTAAACTTGCAGTAGTTTGTAAAGCGCATGGTCTTGAATTGGGACACTTTAGCACCCGTAACAATTTTCAAAGTGAAGTATTACGAAGAAACGAAGCATTTGCGTTGACATATGTTGATAGAATAATTTTTCCTAGCGAAAACTGCTCAACTTCTGCGAAATAGGATTTCTCTGAGAAGCCAATCAGATCTCTCGCTTTAGTCGTCTAACCCACAGCCTAATTTTCAACGAGTGACCGAGTGAAAATAGCTCTGTGGATGAGAATGGTCCACCCCACGCTTTTTGTAATGGTTCGCTACCTTAGCTTGCAGTTTGAAATTAGTAATCAAATCTACGTTTTAAGCTAATCACTTTAGTCATGTAATAACAGTATCTGGGCAGCCATATAGGCTGTACTAATGTGAAAGTTCTAGTCAATATTAAGTACAACCACATGAGATGTCTCATCATGCCTGCTGATCGAGTGTACGTATATATACAACTAGCATAACTTGCAACTGGAGTCAGAATTAACAAAGAATAGACTTTAATTAACCACGCTTTGTAAGTTAATTTGAAATTATATAGCACTAGCTTCATAAATACAAAAATTAAAAAACAATTGTCGTGTTTCCATATGACTATAAACATGACGTGGCAACGCGAGCCTGCGTTCAGTGTTGGCGTAATTACGAATGCTTCATGTTGAAACAATGTTTGGAAAATATAGGCGCTTGGTTGTTGCATGCATGTATTTCTAGTCAGCGTCGCTTTTATATAAGGGGAATTTCTTGAGTTACACGAGGGGTTTTTACAATTTGAGTTGCATTTTACTCATTAATTATTTTCATGGATGACCTATCTTCAAATTTTGACCAAGAAATTATTTTGCGGTAAATTTTATAAATTTCAAAAAATCTTTAGTGTGGAAATTTTGCAATAAAATTTTCGCTTTTAGAAAAATCAGACACTAAAGAATTTTTTAATGTTTCACCACAGTTGCAGAGCATCATTCTCTATTGATATATGAAATAAAAAAGATAGGTCACCGACATCGTTTTTTAGATAGCGGCACATTTATAGATTAAATTGGGAGGCTTTATGCTTTCGTCATGTTGCCATGGAAACACTGACGTTGTCGAAATCTGGTTCGAAATATTCCTTAGATGATCAATATTGCCACCAAATCGCAAAGAATTCGCGTTCTGCACGAATAAGCCTGTTTTACGGAATTATTGGGTATACAAGAATAACTCTAGGGAGTCTCCTTAATTAAAAAATGGGTTATATCACTTCTACCAATTCACTTTTTTTATAACCTAATGTGTTATACATTTTCGGTTTAAACTTTGATATATACACTCGTTAATTTCTAGCATGTTCACCAGAGACGTTGGTTCTAATTAGGTGTGGCTGATTGAAAAACTCCTATACTGGCTTACCTGTACTATGCAGAATTTTGACTTCTTGTCAGAGCGGGAAACAAATAAATAACTGAAAAGATCACGAAACGACCATTTATACTGCTTGGCATAATTAGTTAACGAACATCTGTTCGCATCATTACGTGCGCATGGCGCTTTAAGCGAAAACTATAATTAATGTAAATATAACAATTGTTTTGGAATATTCAAATTCGGAAAAGAAAACAACTTATCTTTAAAACTAAAACTTGTTAAGAAACAATCGACATATGGCATTTTAATAAAATAGACGCTCTCTGACCAAAAATATATATTTATTACAAGCTTTCGGCTACCAAATCTGTTTCTATCCAATCTCTACTAATCTGTATTTCATACGCAATTATGCTAACCTTTCTGTAGATACAATAATAGACTATAGTTTCATATTTCAAACACTCATACCTTTGAAGGCTACAAATTGGTAGCCGAAAGCTTGTAATAAATATATATTTTTGGTCAGAGAGCGTCTATTTTATTATTATGTTTCATCCTGGCCGCACATCTCCCTCTATTTTTTCAATATGGCATTGTGTATGTAGAACAAATTTTGCATGAGATGTTTTTGGTTTTTTGACGACCGCCTTGGCGGCAGATTTTCAGAATCGATACCAAGGGTCAAAAAGCTTTCATTTGAACTCTTGGTTGTTAATTAAATGAAATTTAATGGGAGAAAAATTTAAAATGAACAGAACGAAGGAGATCGAATGATTTAAAATGGCTTAGCTATAATTTAATTCAATTACCAGGATTTTGGGCATACATATATACACTATAGTTCGATTCCTGCCAGAAGCCCTATAGTTGCATTTTTCGCAACTGCCCCTGGTTAGGTCTAATAAATGTATAAAATTCTCACTCGAAATTTCCATCTACAAAACGCTTCTAGAAGTATAGTTAGCCTGCTGTATATGGAGTGGAGATGCCCAAGATCCTATAATTTGTTGCATTGCACTGTTACGTTCTAAACTTGGATGAATACTCGTTATTATATATGGAGTGTTAAAGCAGATATGTTGGTTCTAATAATGTGTGCCTGGTTGAAA